ACTATCCAGTTCAAGAGCGAGGGATAAGCTCGAAGACGAGTCGATAGACGTCCAAGACCGCGTGGGCAAGGAGTAGAACCCAGAGGAGCAACAAATACCAGAGAGGTATTGTTACTGTGAGAGTAGAACAATCACGCAGGGAAGAGGCCAGGATAGTCACAAGGGGATGGTCCTTAAAGGAGTATCCCAGGAATGGAGAGTGCCGTAAACAAATGGACAGTCTGAGGACTGTCCGCTACTTTATTGAGCGCTTATATACTACAAGAGAGTTGCTAAATAGGGAACAAGTCATAACCTTGTTATCAAGCACAATAGAGTGATGAGTAAGAAGTCGGAGGACGCTTACTGAGCATGCTCAGTCATGCTCAGTAAGCTGCTGAGTAAGAAGCTTCTCTTGATGAGTAAGAGCTTCCATTGTCCACGTGTTCACTGCTTTAGTACACGTGCAAGCACCTGATTCATTTCCTGTTAGTTAGTTTAGGGCCGGTCATTTGAGGACTTGTAGTTTGGTTATGGAATAGTGTTATCTTATAAGGCCCTTTATATAGTTCTATTAGGGTCCTTAGAGTCGACCCTAATACTTCTATTAAGGTCCTTAGTGTTGCCTTATAGTTCGTTCTATAGTTATTAGAGTTGGTCTAATAACGCGTTGTAGGGCTTTTGATACTAGGTTAGTACCTATTGTAGAGTTCCTAGGGTCGTTCCAAATGGTCCTTAGGAAGGCTCTAATACTGTCCTTAGTTGCTAGAAGGGTTGCCTTTAAGTGGGGCTTGCTGTATGTCGATTGTGCCGAGAATCGCTCGCGCAACAATGCGCGCGCGATATTGTGGACACCTCTACTCACCCCTTTTGCTCGTGTGAACAGGGTGGCATCATAGAGGCTGGGTTTCCTCCTATAAGGGAGGGTCCTTCAAGGGTCCTCCCCGGGGAATGGTTCATGACAACCAGTAAGTAGTGAGTAAGCCATTACTGATAAATGAGTAAGCAGGTCAGTAAGCAATCACTAAGCCAGATGAATAAGCACATATGAGTAAACAGAAATGAGTCACCAAGGCATAGGTAAGCAGATGAGAACACAGAATGCAAGAATCCTAACAGATAGGCCCAGTTGAAAGAATGAAGGTGGGGGGCACAGACAGCCCAGAAGGTGAGATGCACTTGACAATTGTGACAAGTTCAAGAGAGTCAGACCACACATGATAGAAATTTGACTTCTTGAGGCTGCACATGTGGTAAAATTGTTTGTAGTGTTTGTGGCCCCCACCAAGTTGGATCCCCTTCTCATCCATGTTCCAGATGTGCTGTGGTGGGAGCTCTGGATGGTCATCATAGACCTGCTTAACCAGTTCAAGGTAATGAGTGACATTTGAAGAATTAAAATTCTGCATGCACTTGGGGTCCAGGGAACTTGGCTTTGAGAGTTAAAGGTCCATGTGCTGCATCCAGAATCAACAGTGCCAGTTGATACCTGGCATGACACCAGACATATCATATACAAGGGAGTTGACCTCCATCTGGTCCATGGGCTTGGCCATCAAAGCCTTGTGGTCAATCCAAGTGACCAGCACCTCTTCCTGCCTCTCTGAGAGCAATTGTTGGCCCTCATGTGAATCCTTCCTGGAACAATGCCCATTGATGTGGTCACCTCAGTGTTTGATGAGGAATCTAAGAGTGTTTAATAGAGTCAGCAAGAAAAACAAGCAGCTCCTCACCTCATGCATGATTGCAGCTGCTTGTCTGCTTTTGAAAAGGTCTGCCTGCCACTCTGTGATTGCTGCTTGAATGCAGTCCTCATATGCATTGTCCATCTGCTTTTGCTTCAAATCAGGAGGCATGAATTGATGTGTATTTAAGCACCCTGCAGTGTAGCAGCATTGTGGAAGGGACAAGGGATAAGGAACATATGTGATCAGCCAACGATGCCAATTTGAAGTGCTGACTCAAACAACTCAAACTCTAACATTGTGCTTGACATCCTCTCCAAAAATCCCAGAAAGGGGAAATCATCAAACAGGGGTCTTTTGACACCCAAAAAAAACTGTGGACCCCCATTAATCAGCACTTTGACCCCCAGGTTAAAAGAAATCTCAATCTTTATTGTACATATGCCCACATGTTCTGTCCAACTAATGGGTAGCCTACAGTATTACAACAACAATGACATCACATATGCAAATATGTGAATTACAGTTAACAGACAAAAGTTAGTTAATCATATGACATGTCACTGTCATCACACCTGTCACACCTGTCACTCCCGGCTAATCCCGAAATTCAAAGTTCAAGTTTCAAGAAATCTTGGTTGCTGTATGGGGCCCTATCTTCACCATCTGGAATGGAAGCAATGCAATTCATTGCTTCCACAATACATCTTCAGGAAGATATGATCAATGCACTCCAAATGCAATATCAAGGGACATAAACAGTCAAGATCTGACACACTTGTGATGAGAACAATCCTGTCCATAGTTCAGGTGTCTGGCAACCTCCAGACCCCAAACCACTCAGTACCTTAGCCAAACCATCCTGACTTCCCAGGAAGGATCATTTTGAGTAACAACTACACACTCGAACATGCTTTATTCCCATACGAACAGACTAATCGTACAACGATGATCGGCGGGCACCTTCCCGTATGAAATTACACATGCAGAACACGGGCGTACAACGTTCCAAACGACACCTTTCAGCACTATACCTCAAGCAAGGGTGACCGTGGTCTGGCCAATGTTAGTCTTCAACGGGACGACTGAGGCCGCAGAGGCAACCTTAAGCGGATGGACGGTCGGCACCCCGATAGCCTTGGCAATGGCGTCCGAGAGGCCCTGGTCGACTGCAGCGAACACGGAAACTGCGATAACGTCAATCGTTTGTCCCGATAAGATAACGTAATGAACGTACGCTGGCGTGCTTTGATTTCCGCTGACTTGACGAGGCCCAGATGTCCAGCAATGTTGTCAACAAGGTGTTTGCGATCCAAGTCGCTCAAGACCTTCCTGTAAAGATTGCGAGGTTGCTCGAAATCAACTGCGATAGGAAATATCGCATTCAATACTACGGTGTCATCCACAATGACTATAGCTCACGTTCGGTAACTTCATACAAATGGGCACGGGCATACCCAGCCCAAACTTCGTGCTTATGCTCAGTGTTTGCGTAAGGCTTCTCACGGTAGGTTAGGGGCGAGATGGTGCTCTGGTAATTGGGACGAGCGCCTTGGTTAACAAACGTCGCAAACCCATCACGTTGGAAGTTAGCGACCGGCACAACAGGAGAGTTAACCGGGAGCTGTTGATAATTTACGCCAAGACGGTGGCGGTGAGTATCGGGGTACGAGAAGAGCCGGCTTTGCAGGACTGGGTCAGCGCTTGGCTCAATGCCAGGCACAGTATGGGATGGAGAAAAGGCAGACTGTTCAATCTCTGCAAAGTAGTTCTGCGGGTTCTCGTCCAATACGAGCTTGCCGATGGGGCGGAGGGGATATTCCTTATGTGGCCAAACTTTTGTCAAGTCCAGAATATTGTAGCGGAAATTCTCCGCCTGTTGAGGTGTCATCGTTTGCTAAGCACATGTAGCAAAGTTAAGGCCTCAAAACCATAAAAGGCATCATTCCGAGTGCTTACCACATAGACCGTCCATGATGGATATTGCTTTTTCTCGATGGCCTCAAAAAGCGCTTGGATTCCATAGTCGGGATTCTCACCCGACAGCCTTCCAGCAATCTCATTGTCAAGAGTCTATACGGAATCAACGGTTTATTCATGGCTTCGAGCCAGCTTGAAATCGAATACCTTAAAACCGCCATCTGCACGAATGTGGACCTGAATGTAGACCCACTCTCCGTCATCACGCACAAACTTCAATGGATGGCCAGAGTAACCATGCATGTTGTGATAACCGTCCGGAGTCCCACGGTCAGTGAAGAGTATCACGGTTTGATGAATACTCTCAGGATTCTGAGAAAGATAGTCCTGAGGAAATGTAGAATGAGTACTCGTTGATCAAGTGTCTCAATTATTTCGCATGGACTAGTCGTGAGACAGGGTCTCAAACTCACCCAAAACATATCAGGATCCTTTAAATGCGTTTGAGGATTGCGTTTTTGGGTGTGTATAAAGTGAGGGAACTTGGCAGGGTCACGAATGAAGAAGACGGGAGTGTTATTGAAGACCCAATCAAGATTGCCTTCCTCGGTGCGAATCTTGATGGCAAAGCCACGGGGATCTCGGGCAGTGTCCGCCGAACCTGACTCGCCACCGACGGTGGAAAATCGAACGGTAGAGCGTGCTCTATTGCCAACTTTCTTGAAGAGAGAGGCGGAAGTGAGGTCGGTGATGTCGTGTGTCACTTCGAAGTAGCCATGCGCCCCAGCACCCTTAGCGTGGACCTAAGGGAAACTCGACCGTGAGAATGGAAGTCGCACAAAGTATCGTGACACTGACGACGCGCTCGGGAATACGCTCACGGTCGAAGTGAGCGAGCAAGTCGATGTGATGAAAATCTGGGGATGACAGAAAGGGAGCGAGTCAGCAGCTGAGCGCCGAGTCATCGAAGTTGATGGCGCGGACCTTGGAGGAGCAGAGGTCCGTGCAGGCCAATCTTCTCAGCGGCGTAGGGGCGAGCGACGGGAGCACCGTTGGAGGTGGTGTACACGGCGTTTTCATTGTTTGTGATTTGCTTGGAAGCCATGTCGTGAATAATCAGAGGAGAGGAAGAATGAGAAGGAAATGATGGAGAGGAAAGCGGTATTATTATAGTCGGTCTCCATATGGTCAGGTGAATTGTTCCCAGCAGCCCGTCCACGGGGTGGGGTGGAGCTCCCGCACGGATTAGCAAGATGCATGTTGACTTCTTTTCTGAGACGACTGCGAGCAGCTTTTCGGGTATTTTGGACCGCTCCAAATCTAGACCGGGCGGTGCCACAACAAGAAATTTGAACGACTCCTCGCGGTTTAGAATGAAATGAATTCTCGCCCATGTCGGGAGGGGAAAAAAGTGAACTCCCTGGCGGGGAGTCGAACCCCGCTCTCGCGCGGTCAGTGGAAATGACAGGCGCGTGTACTAATCCGATATACTACCAGGGACTAAATTAGACTTTAGGTAGGCGCTTATTAGCCGATGGGCTCACATTCTATTGCTGGCTGACTGGCTCATTTGGCTATTCATACTCAACACCTCGGAGTTCATAATGAGATGATCATGCTTGTCATGAGAGGTGCACTGCACAACATCCAATCTCATAATTATTGATTGGGCACACCTTAAATCAGCCACATGAATACATGATATATAGGGAATGAACATCACCTCTTCTTGGTGTTCAATGCTTTGTTTATTGTACACTTCATGCTCACATAGCTACTCCTTCCTGTAGTGCACCACCATGGGCATGTTGAGTTCATGTGACTTGATCCAAGGGTGGGTATGGACAGGGAGGAACCAAGAGCAAGCACTTCATGTGCAGTTGTTTGGCTTCTTGGTTTTTGCAGACAAGTGTGAGAAACACAAAAGAAAGTCTATTCTCATAGGAGTAGCTGAGAAATTTATATACTGAGAGACATGAGCATAATGAAAGGGGATCTAGGCTAAGTGAGATAAGGAGATGATGTAAAGAAGGGGCATAAGGTCCCATATAGCAACAAACCTTTTTACAGATTTTCAAACTTTTAAAAATGTTTTGAAATTTAGGCCCATGTTACCAACCAAGAATTCTTAAAGTTGAAGTTGAACTTGAAATTTCAGGATTTTCCAAGAGTGACTGATGTGACCAGTGTGATATAAGTGACATAGCACATATGATAAACTAATAGGTTTTGTTTTTAATATGAGTTTTTATTCACTTGTGATTTGCATATTTGGTGTTGCCCCACACTTTCTTTTCTTGACCCTGATCATCACCTCCCATGCAGACCCACTTGTCAAGAAGCTCTGATTCCTCTGCAGAGGAAACCCAAGCAGATATCAAGGCAAGATGGATGACTGAGGAGGAAGTCAAGTTCTTAAACTTCCTCTTGAAGCACAAGGACCAAATGACATCCAACACTATATTCAAGGATCAAGTCTTCAATGAGGCAGCCAGTCAAATTAGGTCCCTTTGTAAGAAGGGTGGCTTCAAAACTCTGAGCTTGTGCAAGACAAAGTGGCAAAGGGTATGTGTTTCCTTGTTTCACTCTACCTCAACACTGACACCATTCAACTAGATGAAGACCAACTGGGACACAATTTCAGCAATCAAAAACAAGTCCAGTGTGGTTTGGGATGATGTGACAGGAATGAACATATCAGTGGATAATCAAAATCAGGCAGTGTATGATTAGCTGGTTGCAGTGCATCTGTATCTGCTGATTTGTCAACAATATCTTACTTAGTTGTCATGAACCATTTCCTGGAGAGGGCCCTTGAAGGACCCTTCCTTATGAGAGGAAACCCAGCCTCTATGGTGTCACCCTGTTCTCATGGACAAAAGGGGTGAGTAGAGGTGTCCACAATATCACACACACATTGTTGTACAAGCAATTCTCGGCACAATTGACATACAGCAAGCCCCACTTAATGGCAACCCTTTTAGCAATAAAGGACAGTATTATAGCCTCCCTAAGGACCCTTTAGAATGACTCTAAGTGCTCTACAATAAGCACTAACACAATACTAAAGACCCTATGACGTGTTATTAGACTAACTCTAATAACTATAGAACGAACTATGAAGCAATACTAAGGACCTTAATAGAAGTATTAGGGTTGACTCTAAGGACCCTAATAGAACTATATAAGGGGCCTTATAGGCAACTCTATTTCCTGAACCAAACTACAAGTCCTCAAATGACCAGCCCTAAACTAACTAACAGCAAAGGAATCAGGTGCTTTGCATGTGTACTAAAGCAGTGAACATGTGGACAGTAGAGGCTCTTACTCATCAAGAGAAGCCTTCTTACTCAGCAGCTTACTGAGCATGACTGAGCATGCTCAGTAAGCGCACCCCACTTCTTACTCATCTGTCTATTGTGCTTGATAACAAGGTTATGACTTGTTCCCTATTAGGCAGTTCTCTTGTAGTATATAAGCGCTCAATAAAGTAGCAGGCAGTCTTCAGACTGTCCATTTGTTTACAGCACTCTCTATCCCTGGGATACTCCTTTAAGGACTGTCCCCTTGTGACCATTCTGGCCTCTTCCCTGTGTACCTGCTTGACTCTACCAGTAACCATACCTCTTTGGTACTTGGTACTGCTTTGGACTCTACTTCTCGCCCACACTGTCTTGGACGTCTATTGACTTGTCTTTGAACTTGTCCCTCGCTCTTGAACTGGATTGTTCAACAGTGAGTCTTGACATTAGTAGGACAAACCAGTGGTCAAGAAGTTCTACCACAAGGGCTGGCCACATTGTGAGGCCATGGAATCTCTTGTAGGATTAAAAACTAAAGGCAAACATGTGTACCAGGGTATGCAGCCAACACCTCATGCTGAGCATGCTCCATCCCAGTTACCTACTCCTGCTCACCTGACCCCCAATTTGTCTCAAGTTGGCAGCAGCAGGAGGGCATCAACTTCACCATCAGATTCCTCATTTGACTTCACAAATGTTATGAACCAAGGCCAGATCCTGGCCATATATTGCCCTATTTCACTCAAGAGAGATCTCTCTCACTTTGCATTGCCAGCACACTTCTGTTTCTTGGGCTACCCCTCCTGTGGTGCAAGATATTGCTATTGCAAAGGCACTATAACATGACCAGGCACCTGTTTCCTAATTGGGTATTCATTGCATGGCAGCCACATGGCCACTCAGCCACCAAGAACCCAAAACAGCAGCATAAACTCCTATAAACTGTTGCATAACTCATATGATGTCATCTAGGCTCCAATGACATCATGACTGACTGAGCAACTCCACAATGACCTCACTGGCTCACTAAGCACTCCAAAGTGACATCATAAGGATGTCATCGCTCTATAATGATCAGTAATACACTTAGTAAGCCTGAAACCTGACACAAGCAAGTTTATGCCTCTGTAGTCCTATTGGATGGTACCAAGGAGTCTAGAATAGTTCCTGCTCTTTGTAATCGACCCTGTACACAGTATATAAGCCCCAATGTAGCATGGCAGTCATCAGACTGTCATGAACCATTCTCTGGAGAGGGCCCTTGAAGGACCCTTCCTTATAGGAGGAAACCCAGCCTCTATGGTGTCACCCTGTTCACTCGAGCAAAACGGGTGAGTAGAGGTGTCCACAATATCGCGCGTGCATTGTCACATGAGTGATTTTTGGCACAATCGACATACAGCAAGCCCCACTTAAAGGAAACCCTTTTAGCAATAAAAGACAATACTAGGACCTTCCTAGGGACCCTTTAAGATGACTATAAGTGCTCTACAATAGACACTAACACAGTACCAAAGACCCTGCAACGTGTTATTAGACTAACTCTAATAACCATAGAACAAACTATAAGGCAATACTAGGGACCTTAATAGAAATATTAGGGTCAACTTTAAGGACCCTAATAGAACTATACAAGAGGCCTTATAGAATAACACTATTCCACTAACCAGACTACAAGTCCTCAAATGACCGGCCCTAAACTAACTAACAGGAAATGAATCAGGTGTTTGCACGTGTACTGATAGCAGTGAACACATGGACAGTGAAGGTTCTTACTCATCAAAAGGAGCCTTCTTACTCAGCAGCTTACTGAGCATGACTGAGCATGCTCAGTAAGCATACTCCGACTCCTTACTCATCACTCCGAGGTGCTTGATAACAAGGTTATAACTTGTTCCCTATTTAGCAGTTCTCTTGTAGTATATAAGCACTCAATAAAGTAGCGGACAGTCCTCAGACTGTCCATTTGTTTACGGCACTCTCCATCCCTGGGATACTCCTTTAAGGACCGTCCCCTTGTGACTATCCTGGCCTCTTCTCTATGTGACTGCTCTACTCTCACAGTAACAGTGCCTCTCTGGTATTTGTTACTATTCTGGACTCTACTCCTTGCCCACACAGTCTTGGACGTCTATCGACTTGTCTTTGAGCTTATCCCTCGCTCTTGAACTGGATAGTTCAACAGTGAGTCTTGACAATCAGACTGTCCATTTGTGATACTCTCATCCTCCTGGGTACTCCCCTGTGACCACTCAGTTTAAAGTCTTCCCTTGTCTTCAAGGTACTCTTCAAACAACTGCCTTGTCTAAAGCCCCTTGCTACACTGGCCTCTAACGTTTGCCTTTGCCTCCAGCAACATCTGCCAGTACCCCTTTGGTACCTCCTCATCATTTGGCTCATCCTCCTGTTCAAAGCCATCTATGCCACATCCCATCTGTTCCAACCCTTGCCCACCTGTTCCTGAGTCCTTAGTGATCAGCAGTATGTGTCTTGACAACAAATACCTCATTCAACTTCATAACCAACAAGCATAAATCACCTTGCATTGATGATATCCTGATGTCTGAAACATCTTCAGCTAAAAAACAGAAGGGTGACACCATGGCATCCACTGTCATGGGTGTTACAGTGGTCATGAACAGAGTTGTTGATTTCTTCAACTCAACTGTCCATGCTTTTGGTCCCCCCCACCCATGCCTGAATTCACACCTGCACCTGCACCCACACTCACACTCACAGGTGATACTGTACCTGGATTTTTGGCACTTCCTGAGTATGCACATTGGACACTGGCAGTCCAACACCTTGCCAGTGATATCAAGGATATCACAAATGGTTCTTGGTTGCCAACTGATGATATTGTCCCAGCATTATCACTGTTTGCCAATTGCAGCATTGGAGAGTTGGATGGCCTTCTTGTGCTCATATCCATGGAGTCATCATGTGAGTTTGCACATGGATACATATGTAATCTGGTGGAGAAAGTGAAGTGAGTGTAAGTGATGATTTGTGTTGTTGTGTCATGTATGTGTATCCAAATAAATATTTCACATATGTGAAATTACATGTGATGTGCCAAAAAAACATTCCTGTCAAAAAATTACTTGCTCTGTCCCCTGTTGTTGTCCCCTCCCTCACTCATGATGCCTGATAACCCTCATCAGCAATGGGTACAATGGCAATGCCAACAGCACCAAC